AATTGGTGTTCTTTCCTCAAAATGTCTTTCCATCAACCAACTCACTTAAGATCCCGTATAGACTATTTAAATCTAACATTTCTTACTTAGTAGGAAATGTTGGACTTGCCCATACTGACTAGTACTGTTCGAAGGACTGGTTATTCTCAATCAACATAGATGAGGTCGTAACCTCTAGTTATCAGCTAGCTGACCTACTAATGAAGAACGCTGCTGTCGTTGAGCTTCTTGCACAACGTGTCGCATTACAGCAACGTCCGCTATGAACAGAGTAGGTATTATATGGTCTTTAGAGAACAACAAAGGAATAAATGCAGCTAGAATGATGTCAATGATTTTCTGGAACATGAGTTATGTAAATACTGCATAAATCAGAAGAAGTGAAAACATTTCAGAAATGCTTACATTAACATTAGAACGTTGAAAACGCATGGTTTGCCTGAATACTAAAACATCATATGCTCAAAATTGAAAACTGAATAGCAACCAAGAAAAATAGAGAAAATCAGAAGAAAGAGATGAGATTTAAAAAAAGGAATTATAAGTTTGTTTGTTTGTTTGTTTATAGTTAAGCACAAAACTACACAATGAGCTATCTGTGCTCTGCCCACCACGAGTATCGAAACCGGGTTCTAGCGTTGTAAGTCCACATACATACAGCTGTGCCACTGGGGGACGAGAGGAGGGGTACTAATAACGTTTTTTGATTTCATTTAAATTTTACTTACTCACGAAGTTAAAGTTCATTGGTCGTTTAAATCCGTGGATTACCATTACTTGTAGTACAGCCTGCGGTAACTCAGCGGTAAGGCTGAGGGCTTATAACACTAAAAGTCGGATTTCAATAGCCGCGATGGGTACAACACAGATAGCCTATTGCGTAACAACGAACAAACAAAAACACTAGTGGTATTTAGATTTCCATAAATATTTGTTCTATTGACTAGTAATCAAAAGGGGATGTCGGTAATTACAATCAGATGATAGAAATTAATGTAATTCATCATTTGTTGTTCTATATCTGAGAGCTAACTTAGTTTCTTCTGCTAGTGATTTAATAGGTTAGGGTAAGGTGTTACATTTTCTGTGTGTGATACGAATTATTGTAAATATTTATCTTTAAGAACCATATTAGAAAGCCTTTGTTTTTTTCGTTTGCTTTTTATACTTTTTTCACAAAGCTACACAATGAGCTATCTGTGCTCTGCCCACAACAAACTTGATTTTTAGCGTCGTAAGCCTGCAGACTTACTTCTGAGCCACACACAAAAACTGTCTGAGCATAGTTGTAATTAATTTTGAGCTTCTGTTCTAAGGGAAGAGAAATAGTCAATAATATCCACCGCCAACTCTTGTGTCACCAAATAATGGAGTTTTATCGTTACTTTTGTAGCGGTTCCAAAGTACGGACCGTGTTGTTGTTTTTTTTTTTTGCGATAGCGGGATGCAAACCTAGTCTGGGACATTTCAGCACTGGGACACCCGGCCTTATTAAAGATACTTTCTTCGCAATTGATAATATCGCAAGGTGTTTAAAATGTTTGTGCTGGAGGGCTAACTAAATCCTAATAAATTTTGTGCATTTGGATTATTCGTAAACGTGTAAACTGCATTTAATTTGTTTATAATTACCGGCTACTAATCAGTTAAGTTTATATGACCAGCAAGCATGTTTGAGTCACAGATATACAATTGATAAATTAAATGCAGTTTATATATTATTTCCATGTCATAAAAAATAAAATCATCTGTGTAAATACTTTCAAATCATCGTCCTAAATATACAATGACTTTAATATTTTCAAATACAGAATCTTAAACATACAAGTTGAATATTATATTTTATAATTACGTGTGCTTATTGTAATCGCAAAAATATAAAGAAGGGCGATAACGAAGTTTTTGTTCTTTCAGGCCCCAATTACATGTTACGTGTTTGTTCCTGTAAAGGAGAGACTTGGACATTCTCTCATTCAAACGCTTGTAATTAACAGACGTTAGAATCCTGGTTTCGATACCCGTGGTGGGCAGAGCACAGATAGCCCATTGTGTAGCTTTGTGCTTAATTACAAACAGACAATGCTGTAACATTGTTTTTCTTTTTTACCAGAGGAAAAAACAATAACGTTTATTGCATAACTTTATCGAACAATGCCAGTTTTCGAATATCGATATCGTACATAAACGATTTTTATTGTTTTGAATGTGTGTTAGGATAAGTATATTTTCACTTGAATTTGTATCCGATCAAAAGGTTAAATATTAAACAGAAATGATTTCGCTAGTGTTTTTCATCAGTCTTTTCTTCTTTCTCAAGAGCACACACATACGTAAATGTTTGGATGATAATATTTTTATTTCAAAACTTCTACTCATTTATTTAATAAATCTCAGCACCATGATATTGTTGGGTACTGTTTGTTTGTTTGTAATTAAGCACAAAGCTACACAAAGAGCTATCTGTGCTCTTCCCACCACGGGTATCGAAACCTGGATTCTAGCGTTGTAAATCCACAAAGATACCGCTGTGCCACTGGAGGGCTGTTGGACACTTCTTTGACCCTATATTCTGTCCCAGTACAATCATGGGAGTAAGTTTTAATAGCAACCTTTTAAAGAATACCGGATACAGACCACTTTCAGATGTAAAATGTTTGTTTAGCTTTCCCTGGAAAAGATGGTTTTATAAGACAAATCTAGTAGTGGGTTAGCCGGATATTCATCAACCTACTCTTGACTATTCTAATATTAAAACATTGTGCGAAAACAACTACTCGCAAAATTAAATATGAACTGCGTTATGAATAATTCAATGGCGGGCCCAAATTTGTTTATTTCTTTTTATGAACAGGTGAAGCATTTCGAAAGTTTGTTCATAGAGGGAGCTCTAACGAGAAATATAAGATCGCTCGAAGAAAGGTTTGGCATTATTCCAACATCCGGTCTTAATGTGTTATATATAGCATAACCGTAATTAAACTGGTGTAATTCAGTTTTTTATTTATTAATTTATACATTTTAGCAGTATTAGCATATTACCCATTATATATGCATCTGTGTTTAACCATTTTTAACAAAACAACGTAAAATAGGCTATTGACTCTTACAAAATATAAAATGGAATTATCTTTCAAAAGAGTCGTGGAAGGGTTAAAATGGGAAGCCTTTTTTATTCACAAGGGGGCTCGGGTTGACTTAACCGATTTAAATGAAAATTAATATAATAAGTAAGAAGCTATTCAAAACAATTATCCTAATACGGGTCTAGGAAATTATCAAAATTGAGACCCAGTTTTCGAGGGCTGATGGGATTAGCTGCATGGATTAACCCGAAAATGAACAAATTTAAATGATCATTAAGTACAAAGTGGCAATATTATTTGTTTAATTGCTGTGTCCTGTGAATGTTCACAGATAATTTACAAGTTTAAATCAAAGTTCGGCATTGCAAGTAATTTTATAACACAAGAAAAGAAATTCACGTTACCGGCTCCAAATACGTTAAAGAACTTTTGCTCCATATAAGTGACGGTATAATAAAAGTAACATTTTAAATATTGAAAGCTATCGAGGCATTATAAACCAATAGATTTAAAACTTGTGATTAAAAATCACATAAACTGCAGATGTTTTCTTCCCACATTCACTTTAATTCGTCCATTTCGGATTCAAAATCAGAGATATGTAAAAATGGCATTTCATTGACGCCGAAAATGTCTTTCGTTCAATACTAGAAGTTGTCAGTTAAACTGGACGATGAGTAGCGAAATATTCTCTGAAACACTATTTATATATATGCACTATGATACTTTAATTTAAACGCAGTAAGTTAACAAAGCCTAACAATAGGCCTAATATTATATATATATATATATATAACAAAAACGTAAATTGTAGATGTTTTTCAACATTCCTTTCAATGTGTCCATTTTGGGTATAAAATTGCACGAGGAATGTGGAAAAAACCCAATTACACTGAATATATAAATAGTTTCTGACAATCTTTTGTCTTTCATTGTCCAATCTAACCGACAAGTTCTGTTACCAAACGAAAGACATTTTTTCCCCTCTCTTCTGGTATTGACTTGTGGGAGACAAAATAGATTATAGATGCTATTTTTACACACCTTTGATTTTGAATCCGAAATGGATATATTAAAAGAAATGTTATGTGATTTTTATCGCAAATTTTAGGCCTTCTGGTGTTATAGGTTTTTTGATTGATTTTTCGGGTAAAACCTTGCCCAACTCTTCCAGGAATATGTCATTTATTTGACAAGGATTATGGCAACCGGGGAAAGGTGTGTGAATTCACATACCACCTTTTTAAATATTATTACTTGAGTAAGACAAATATTTTTCGAATCGTGGCTACAAAATGTTTTTTGTATGCAACAACACTCTCTGAGATTATATATTCGTCATTGTTCTTGTTTTTAATACCAAGCATAATTATTAAGCGATATGATACGTGAAGCCATAATACGATTATATAGATGCATTGTCCGATACGATAAGAGTTGTGTATCTTCACGAAATTTGGCAAACTTTCAGTAAACGTTATAAGTCTTTTATACAGAAAAAATCAGAATTTCTAATAAAGTATCCTTACTAAAACTTGAGTATTGAGCACTACATGTTGTCTTCATTTCTTTTATCAAAAACAATACATTGAAAGTAATATAACAAATTAACAATAACAAAATAGACAGATATTAACTTTTTTATTTTACTTCTCAGAGTTTCCAGCTGCCATTTAGTTGATCAAACCTGAGAATTTGAAAAAGCACTGTAAAGTGTGAAGTACTTAAATAAGACAGTGTTAGTAATATAGATAATAAGTTACAGACAAGACTGTCAAACTTTGTAACAAACCGTTCGTAAAACTTCTGTATTTGGATACGTATCGTATCGACTACTATGATGAGATACGCGCCCCTAATAATTACATAAACACCCCTATATCTCTTTTGTTACATTACAGTCACGATCTCAGAATCTGTCATTAGAAACGTGCTTTATTGAAACCAAAGAAGACAATTTACAGGAGAACATCCAGAAAAAACAAATTTACAATAACTATTACTAAAAAAACGTGAAAACGAAAAGGTTAAAACCTAAACATCTCGTACGTTTAACTTATGACCCCCTCAAGTAACAAAATGCTTCTTTTCATATTATTGGTAAGAGTTTGGAAAACATTGATAATAACAACCAGAAAATTTTGAAACAATGCAGCAAACGTGTTTGGTATTTCAAAAATGTGGAACCAAAACGAACCGCTTTCGTCAGTCAAAATGTGTAGTACTTCTAAAACTGAAACGCTTAAGAAGCACCGATACAATTTTTGAACAAAAACAAGATTTGCAGAAGTTCTAGAGTACCTGTAACTACATAATCATATGTTTATATATATATATATTTATAATCCAACGTATTTAATATACTATATTTAACAGTTTGGAAACACGTTTTCTAATCACCTGCACAGTTATACAACATTGCGAGGAAGACAGTAAAAATCCAGGCTTACTTGAAAGTTTGTCCTGACATAATAGTATTTCCCAAGAGATTCGATGCATCTATAAATCTGCATTGCTAATTTAAACTGGTACAAACGTGCAATCCAACTTCCAATTTACAGAATAAACAAGATGTAGAAAGAGTTGCACTTTAGGCATCTTCATTACACGTTCCCCTAATTATACAGTAAAGTCATTAAATTGGAGATAACGCCCTTGGTTAGAAATATATATTTTCTTCTACTATTTATTTCATGTTTTGTTTTCCTTAGTAGAAACTATTATATGGCCAGGCTGCATCAGAGAAATGTTAGAAATAATCAAAATTTCAAGCTACTAGATGACAACAAAACGATAAAAAGAAATATATCTTAGTTGCTTATTTGTTTTACTTCAAAGTTACAGAATAGGCTATTCGCGTTCTATTTAGCGCGTGGAATCGAATTCCAGGTTTTTTGCGTTGTAAGTTCGTACACTTATCACTGACCCACCGGTGGACTCGTTTTTTATTTCTAATGCATGCGTTTTATTCAATATTAATTATGAAACCAACAGACACGTTAATAAACAAATCATTTTGTGTACGTTAAACATATTTCCAAATGAAGAATGGATTCGTTGTTAAATGGTGTTTGGACAGTTACCACTGGTTCACACCATACGTTTCGTAACTTAACACTGTAACTGAGGGTTAAATCTTGTCCAAAGGGGGAATATTTTTTTCACAGCTCGTGAAATAATTCAATACTCACAACAACAGTCAAAGGCAAGTGTGCCTTATAATCGAAATAACAACTTATATTCACAGTACTCTTCACAATTATGTCACCAAGTTCCAGTAACAAGTATTAAACACAGGCTTAACTTAAAAGCGACTCATTCATGAAAATTGTATAATATATATACACACACACACAAACATTTATGTATATAATCACATATTATATTTGAAGAATTAATGATTTATAAAATAAACATACAAAGGAATGAACTCGGCTCCACGAACCAGTTGGCCAGTGCTAGAGTTTAGACTAATGTAAATTACAGGTCGTTGGTTGAGAATTCAGTGCTTCTCAACTGGGTGAATGGTTCCACCCAGGGGTTAATGAGATTAGAATCAGGATGAATGAGTATTATCAATTATACTCTGGTTCGGGGATTTTTCTAAATTATTGTTTAGAAACAAATTTAAAGCATTATTTTTCATGCATAGTAAAACATTTTGTCTTTTCTTCATTCCTAAAACCAGCTTTCGACATCTGGTTGTGTTTATTATCACAACACCGTGCTGTGACAAAGTTTGCTTCAAAAACATTAAGTAAAATAGGCCTATCTAATAGCTAGTGACAGGGAAACATCTGGTTTTTCTCATATTTCTTCTTCTTGGATTTAACCTTCCTGTCTTCACATATTTTTAAATATTAATTTTTTCTCACCGTAAGGACCTTTAATATTTTTTGTCAATGTTAGTTATGCTCGTTTCTTTTGAATATCTTACAATCTCGTATTTGATGTTTGATAAATATTAGAAAACACACTCAATATCGAGGTGCTAAAACATGCTTGCTTAATTTCACAATTTTATTTTAGTTATGCTGGAGTTTGCCGTCAAAGGTTTTCGCGTTACATTTATTGATAATTCAATAATATCAATTCTCGTACTTCTTTTTCAAATTGGGGTGAAAAACTTATATGGGTGAATGATATTGGAAAAGGTTGAGAAGCACTGGTTCAGATTGACGATCCGTAATTTACGAGACAGGCCTACAAGGGTTCGAAATTGTTTCGCAGCATATTTAGGCCAGTGCAATATTTTTTGGGGCAAATAATTACTTAAACAGTTTAGTACTGGCCTACCGTCATGGTGAGCACAGTTTGTTTTTCTATAGGACTATTTCATAAATCACTAATCATTAAATAAAGTGTGTATACATAGTTTTTCTGAATCGTTAACACACTACGATATTTATTTATATTCTGCACAAACACGTATATATTATCTCATCACTTTTAAGAGCATTAATAGATTGACTTCTTTAAATTTAGTTAGATATTTTTAATTATATCACGCTTTAAAAACTTGTGTCTTCAATAACGAATGTATTTTTGTGAAATTTACCATATTTGACTTTATTAAAAACACTATTCAATATTGCTTCTAGATGGCCATAAATTATACCATATTATGTTTTCCAAAAAATAAAAAGAAAGTTCGTTTATGAAATCTAGGGAAAAAAAATAAAGAAAACAGTACATATACTTAATCAGTCTTATGAATCAATTAAACTAGTATTATTATTGAAAAACATCGGATTTTCTTCTGTAATAAGTATACACACATATGTACGTGTGTACTTTACACTACTGCTGTCACTACAGTGTAAAAACAAAAATTCGACAAGCAGTTAAAAAATTAAAAAAAAAACATGAAAAAAGTTTCACAGTTTACACACGACAAAAAACAGTATCCAAGTAAAAAAATCACTTTTTTCATAAAAATGTACTTCACCTTTTAGCTCAAGTATGTAACGTTTACTGCAGTTGCATAATACAAAACCAGTATGATAAGGGCTATTCCTTTTTTAAAGCTGCTTGAGAAAAACATAAAAAAAGAAAAACACAAACAAATCCGATTTCAAATCTCAAAAGAACTTCTTTCCAGTTACTGAATTTTAAACAGCAGCTTATTCAGAAATATACAATTCAAAAAGTGAAACAACAATTTTCTACTCTTCGCGTGTTTTAAATTTCAGTTCTCGTAATACAAGAATAACAAAGGTTACATAAAATCACGATCTGATTTTAAAGAATCGTTACAAATAAACAGACAGCTTTCCTTTTTCTAAAGCTTTGGTTTGGGTTTTCACTATGCTATAATACCATATGTTAACTATATGACATACATTGAAAAAAAAGAGAGGGAGATGAGCAGATAAAGACTAACACACTAAATATAAAAGCCCAATATTCCCTGAAATTATATTCACTAATTTACTTAGTGTCCTAATATATTAGGTTTGTATAAGTGTGGGAAGCTGGTAGATTTAGAATGCTATGGCCGCCTGAGTGATGGTCACCTGGAGAGCCTTGGCCACGTGGGAGACGTCAACTACACTGTCTATCATCTCTTGGACTGCCACCACCGAAGGGTACTGGAGGGCAGCTTTTTTCGTACTGGCTACCAGAGTTTTTAACGACTCGCACAAGGCATCAGAACTCCGCATTACACGAGTTTTTAGCTCAGAACTGCTAGCATTTCGATGCAAAGTGTCTCCAATGTAAATCATCTTGTGAGCCCCGATAACCACGAACTTACTGTGACCTATGAAAATCTTAGGCGGTTGGTTATTCTTCACGGTTGTCAAAAAAGCGTCGATAGCATTTGTAAGGTGAAGCATGTGTATCTCCACCTGTGCTGAATAAAAGTGAACGAGCTGGCGATCATTAGGACTCAACTGGTGGAAACTATCAGTTGAGGAATTTTCTATAGGAATAGACTTGCTATCTTCCTTAACTTGAACTGGAATTTCTGACTGTTTCACTAAATTCTCGAAGGACTGTCTAAGTTCAGAAGGCAAGGCTGCTTTGATCTCTTCATTTTCTCTCTCCACTGTTGCTTTTGATTCTAAACTCACATAATCATAATCATTCATCCACTCCTTTCCCTCAAGTCGAAACTCGTCGTCTACCTTGGTTATATGTACAGGAGGGGAAGGAAGCGGTCGTTCCTGAACATGATGACCTCTAGCCAAGGTACTAACCATCTGGCCGCCCGTCTTCGAGGTGGAGGTGAACCTATTATCTATGAGCAACGTTGAACGTTTGAAGATTAGGGATGAATTTCCCTGAATAAAGGATGCCACCAGTCGCACGTCCTCAGTAAGTCCACGAGCACAAGCTACTAACTGATCTAGCTCGTCTGGTGTTCCAGGTTCATCTGAAGAGATTAGGCCCGCAATTAACCAACCTTTGTCATCCAGCGACTGTGTGGTGGTTTCTACGATTGTGTTAGAGTCCACTAACGGCTTGATCAATTTGAAAAGCTTATAACTTAAAGTCTTGTCGGTTGCATGTACCGAGTTTGCTAACGCACCATAAGTGAAGTCCAAAAATTCACTTAGCGTATTCCGGAGTTTCTGACATGTGACCTGAATATCATAAACTTTAGCCTCTAAATTTTCTCGCTTACGCCATGTAGCGCTAATGAAACTGAAGAGTTTATTGATACATGCTTGCACTTCTTGGTGACGATTCATTAACATTTCCATGGCAGCGTCCAATGCCAGAGGGAGTTCCTTGCCCTCTAGCGGTGGCAAAACATCCCCTGTACTTGTAGCTGATAGCCTCCGAACTGTGTTCACTTCATCACCAGGTGCCTTGGGAGTGCATGGGCTGACGTCTCGGGTGACCTGTGGAGGGACATCGTAGGGACCTTCCACGTGGAGTTTTTGTGGTAGTTTTTGTGCGAGTCTCGGCGTGGGAGGCAGATCGTATGTTTGAGGAACCTTTGTAGTAGGAGTTACATCGTTCAAGTCTGCTTGCTTGCGTGAAGGAAATGTCGTGCTGATGACGTTAGTGCTTGTGCATACCCTACGAGGATCACTTTGGGGAATATCATACAAGTCGTTAAACTGGGGCTCCATACTTGATCTGTTTGACCCACATAGACTGGACAAGGATAGCGATGCGTTTAAACTCGAATGGCCACTGGTGGAAGATAACAGTGAGGAGGAACTGGTTGAAAGCAAGGACACTCCACTGGAGCGACCTGAAAGAGGCACACCATATGCATCTAAAGTAGTAGTCTTGCTTATCTGAGGCATCTCAGCTGTCGGTACGTCGTAATCGTGAATCTTTCCCGACCACGGGGTGTGGTACGTGTTTGATTCTGGATATGTAAGCCTTGGTTCGTCATAAACACCAGGGTCCACACTGACAGGAGCGTTAGATCGTGGTTCGTCATATGTTGACTGGATTACAACAGCACGGGGACTTGGTGGGGTGTCGTAACTTCCAGCTAGATGTCGGAAAATATTGAAATTATACTATGATGAATAGAAAAGCAAATGACTCTATTATATCCAACACTTGAATAAATAATTTCAAATAATCCTATTATATTCAACACTCGAATGTATACTTTCAAATAACATTATTGTTATAAGATATATTTCCAATAATATAATTCAGTTGTTTGCTAGATGGTGCTATTAGCCATGATGTAATAATCAAGAACTTCTATAATATCAAGGAATAGATGATACATTATTTATAAGTACGAATAAGCAGTTAGTAAAATTACTGAATATTTAATCAGTGAAATATTTAGTGCAAGAGTTCAATGTTAGAAAAGTTATTCCATGAATTGTTACATATATTCAGTTACTCGATCGATTAGTCGTAGAATTTTAAAAGTATATTTTTGTAAGTTATACTTAGTACTATTAGAGAGAAATTTTTGTTGAAACGTTATTTGTGCAGTTACACTTGTGTCAAAGTGAATGTAGCCTGTAGAAACGTATTATTTTTACCAAATATTCCAAAAGAACCCGACCAAAGAAAGAGCATGTTACAGCACTTATGTCAGAAGTGGGATTATTTTGGTGAAAATAAAACAGAACTGTTATTAAACTTAAAACACTGGTAATAGTAACATTAGACTCCTTGAAGATGACCACACGGGAATAAAGTGAGATAGGAAACTTGCTAGAGATGATAAACCAATGGAAAAGAAAACAAACAGGAAGAGACAAAAATTTTTGAAAGGAGTTTAAAAAAAGATACGCACTATTTAAAGAAGAATTAAAATCAAAAATAAATCTGATGATCGATGATGCTACTTGAGATGTAAATAAAGTACAGAAGGATATCAACGAAGTACGGAAAGGATGCAATGAAAAAATTGAAGATAGGCAAAAAGAAATCAACGAAAGTGTAAAATATTGGGGAAAATAACTAATGAAAGCAAAGATTAAACCAACCACACCTCTTTCTGAATCGGCCGAAGCATTCCAACCTAAAACCCTATTTACTACAAAATACCGAAGAGGAACATTATTTGTTCTTCACCTATAACTACTACTGCTGTGCTATCTGTTACTGAAGGATCTTCCTAGACAACTTTAGCCATGTTACCAAATCAAGTTCCAGAATTTAACTTGCCAATTCAACATCACCTAATTGGAAAAGCAATGAACTACGATGGAAAGATATCGTGTGAAACATATCAGACCCTATTTTAGATAGTGTACAACAAACTGTGCATCTTTCTGCCCAATCAAAAGGCCCAGCTTTAAGAACATTAAGTAACCTTCCAGCTGAAAGCCGTAACACCTACCAATACTTGGTACCTTATCCGACAGGTTTGGAGTGGCACACTAGTAAGAAGTATCCGGAGCAAAGTTCCGAAACAGGCCATGGAGGAAAGAAGGGACCTTAGCCGAACTTGTAAAAGATTTGGAAATGCTTGCCCAACTATCTTACCAGGATGCTCCACGTGAAGCATCCTGTGACCAATTTATAGATGCCATAACAGACAAGGAATTAGTTTGAATCAAAGTAGGTGTATATATTTAATAGAAGTTCTTCAGTTGGTGATAGAACTTGAACCCATTAAATAGCTAAATTACAGCACTGAAAATATAGCTTACAACACTCGAATGAATAAATTCAATTAACTGTATTATACTCAACACTCGAATGAATACTTTTCCGAGGCTTAGTTATCATTAGATGCCGATTCTGTAATCATTACTCATGTTAAATGGCTGCATAACATTTTGCAACAACCAAGTATTTACTCATAGCAATGAAACAAAGATTAACACTTCCTGAAATATTATATGTTCCAAATAGTAATCATAATTTAGCTTCACATTGTCTTTTGGTTATATGAAAAGTAAACAAAAAAAGGCTTAACTAGGTTTACAGCTAACCAAAGTAACTTTCTATCCGTAACTACAGTATAGAATTATGTGATCAAACAGAATATTTTTGTCCGCTAGAAGAATATTATTAGCATATCTACTTGTTTACCAAACGTTACCCGAACTTACAATCACAAGATAACGCCCAATAGTTTGCGAAGTATTATTTACTAGTATAATAATTATTCCTTTAAATCTAAATCACCACATTTCGTTAAACACAAAACAACATTGTTCTTTAATTATTTTGAAAACCAAAGAGACGCGAGGAGGTTTAATAAAACAAGTTTTTTGAGTCTAGGGTATACGCCAACTCATGGTTACACCTCACGGTTTTAGTTGAACTCCATCTCGTGTTGAACCAATAATTACACGTGAAGGAAGTCCACAAGCTGATAACCGACATTGACAAACATGGCAATTGTTTACGCTGGGCATCTCGAACAACAATAAAAAAAACAATACAACTAAAATTTTCATATAAGCAAGTTCGAAATCCTGTCTTCAGACGAAACATTAACCCTTCTCTACGCTGACCTCCACACGCTTTGTTTGTTTTTCTTATGTTTTACACATTCAGTACAAACCTTGAGATCCTGGAGGAATATCATAAGGTAATGAATGGTTAAGTGGCGCACGTGCTCGTGTTGTAGGTACATCATATTCTTCAGTTACCCTCGTTCCAACCGGAACGTCGTACAAATATACATCGCCTACTTTCTGAGGCATCACAACCTGCAAATAATAATAAATAAAAGAGAATACATTTAAAACGAAAACTAATTTTATGGAAACAATATCTATTTAAAGAGATAAATAAGCTTCATTTTATGAACATTGGATGGTTAATTTCAAGCCTCGTATGTTGTTACCTGAGGTAATAGACCGGCATTAAACTAACTCTACTTACAACTTGCAAAACGTCTTTACATCTTACAGCGTAAATAATACCTACCTAGTTCAAATCCATGCGGATATGGCCTAGTTATTCACGCGCCAGGTTAGGGACAGAAGGGTCCAAGGTTCGCGCCGCGATGCTGTTGAAGATGCTTTGAACTTTCAGCTGTGTATGTGTTATATGAGTAACAGTCAATCAAAAAGACAGTTCCCTTGTGGCAACAAGTGCTGTGGACTGGCCGCCTTTTCTGTAGCCACAAGTTCAAAATTAGGGACGGTAATACCCGTATTCTAAAAGTCCATGACCTGGTTTAGCCTATGTGTCACATTAAAACGCGGGTCACTTCGAAAATAATGCCAATCAAGTCTGTGTATGATGGAACTTAATAAACAAATCATTTTACTACTACTACTACTACATAACCAAGGTAGGTTTGACTCGTCTCATCTCTCGCGATATATATTGAGATATTTAACTTTACTATAAATGTAATTGATTTAATATTTTTAAGGTTTGTAAACAAGTATCGTTTACTGCGTGTTCGTAAGTTCCTGAACTGGTAATAGTAACTGCATATAACATTAGAAACATAAACTAACAAAACAAACGTGTTTTCGACAGTAATTGCTGAAAAATATCAGTCTGTCAGATAACTTGTATCACCTCCTTATAAATCATTACAGACTCTACTACTGGTTTCTGGCAGAAACATTATGAATTAAAGATACCCAAAACCACCCTTAGAAAAGAGTGGTTTACAAGAGTAGATTGACCCACTGAAAATGCTGCGACCTCAGTTTATATCCAACAATTGAAAAATATTTTTAAAATATTGCTCTACCGTAGATGTAGAATGAGCTGTTTTTATTATTATTCGCCATAAGTATTGGTAAGAATAAATATATTTTTAAGTACCGTATCATTGCTAAACGAACTTTGACAAATTGATTGTTTTAAACCTCACATTGGTGTTAATGTTGGCTTACCATAACGGGCAATGGTGTGTCTTATGACTGTTTCTAACGGCTTCTCAAAAAGCATAACAACGACGATGAGAAGGCGCGACTAAGCGAGTGAAAAAACCTGTCTTCAATTTTACAATGTACGAGTCATGATATAAACAAAAAAACACGTACCCGTCGGTTTCTTTTCCGTAACAAAAATGCTTCTCAAGAAGTTACCAGCTGCACACTAGAACATTCATCACTCCAAGCTGTCAACCCAAGCTTTGATTTCCGATCAGGTCACAAATCCCTGACGTTACAGGCGCAGTAACTAGCCTTTAAAAAGCTTAAAGAGGTGGTTACGTCGGGTCGTATTTGGGAAACATTAGAAAAATCATCACGCTGCTAATTGCCTCTCCCCTGACCACCACCTCCAAAATCACTGAACAGCACATATAAGTTTCAGATATGTGTAAAAGAGAGCGCATTCTGATGGTTCAGCGATAAGCTGGAAGGATCATAACGATAAAATTCGAAGTTCAATCCCTGAGGTAAGCACAAAGCAGATAGATTACTTTGCAGTTTTATGCTTAAACAAACAAACGTAAAAAAAGAATGAAAGAAAACTTACCGAGCGAAATAGTCAATACTATGTCTGCAGTAGAATAAAAACCATTCTTTAAAACTATTCTATAGCAATACTTCAGCTGAGAAGTTGGGTCTTGGAGAATATCTACTGATATTACGTAAAATAAGGCTAACATTTTCGTTCAACTTATCAGGATTTAAGAAAGACTGAAATTTGAGTTTGTCAGTATTTCATCTAATAAGTTTGATCATGTCCCCCAGCGATTCAACGATAAGGCTTATAAAGCTAAAAATCGGGTTTCGATACCCGTGGTAGGTACAGCACAGATAACCCATTATGTAGCTTTTTGTTTAACACAAACAAACAAAACAAATTAGATCTTTGTACAACCTTTTAATATTTCGGAAAGTGTTTACTTTTTAAGATCTGTTAGTTTCAGGTAGTTCAAGTTTGAGTTTTGAGGATCTATTAGTCAAGAATTTAGTTTCAAAATTATCAAAGCGTTTTGAAAATTGCTCTCTTGAACGAAGATAGGAATTACATTAATGAAGAGCAGATATAATGCATTTACTGTTCTTAGGCTCATTATAATTATCAATGGCTAGAATACAACCCACTTTTGTTCGTGGACTTAAGGTTTCAAATATTGATATGTTCACTGTTAAAAATATTTTGCTGGTACTAAAGACGTTCACAAAAATAGCTAATTCTTAAATCCGGTAAAAGCTGTGTTTTGTAGGACAACCAGCCAATCAAAATGTTAAATAATTAACAATGCCAAGTACACTTATTGAAGGCTGAATAGAAACGATATATTATGAATTAACATATTTGAACGTGGAACACATTTTAAAACAGCACACTGGTCACAAGAAATGAATTTTCATCTGGCCTTTGGACCCGAAAATGAATAAGTATTCTAAACTTGGACCACTAAATACATTTTCCATACCAATTGTTAAAAATTCAATTTACAACAGTTTGAACGTTAGTTGTCAAAGTGATAAAAGAAATATGAAATGATGTAGTCATCTTGATAACAGTATTACTATATATATTATAATGAATGACCTTCTAGCACGTCATTATTAAAGGTTGTTTCTTGGACCAGTTGATGAAAGATATCAATAATCAAATTCCATCAACAATGGACACTCGAGAGAGAAATACGCCCGTCACAACAAGAAACTGTGGATTTCAAACGATAGTAAAAGACCGAAAAAAGACGGTTAGAAAAGTCTGTAAAGTACAACATATGTTAAGCTGTGTCTATATATTCATTTTCTTTAACAGAAGTCTGAATTCGATTGTCAACCAACCACTTAAAAGACGTTATAAGAACGTACTCGCGACAGGTGAGAACTAGCCTGAAAACCACTTGTCTGGGATAAAAGAGTAAATCAGGGCTTCAGTGGTGCTTAAAATGCATATTTTAGACAATGGATGACTAAATCCGTGTAAAGTAGTTTTACAAGTTGTGTTACATTCTTTTCTGAGCTTAAGGTGTAATAATCCCATGAGAACAACTACGTAAAGCAATTTTTCCTGCTAGTACTCTACCTGCAGTGCAAGTAACTAGAGGCGATGTAATAGTGTGAGGCACATTCTTGTGGCAGAGGCTAGGTGCTTGAGTCCCTATAGAAGGACAATCAGCATCCAGAGCTTACCCTAAAGTTGTTAGTGATCATGTGCATATCATAATGTTGTATTTCTATCTCAACAGACGAGGGCTCTCTCAAGATAACAAACAATGCAATAACCTAATTTACATGTATTGCCTGCAATTAGTTTAAGCAGCATGACAGTGAAATTAGTCAACTTCTTTTGTCTTCACAATTACAACACCTCAATCTGTTCAACATGTTTGAAATGAGCTAGAATGCTGCATTACTGTAAACATTTGCCTACATCTATAAAACAATCACAGATCTTACTCGTCGATGAACAGGCTACAATCATTTTGTGGAAGTCCTAAAGTTTCCAATTAGTTTTATTAAATATTAGCGCAAGTTGTAAACAATGAAGAAATATTCTACTATGTGCAGAAGGGTAACTACATAAGATCACCTACATAAGATTAACAAACGGATACTATCCACATAACAACCAATACTGACACTACTCACATAAAAGTAACTACTAAAGATTACCTACTTAAAAGTAACTACTTAACACTACTCATGTAAGGGTATTAACTAAAGATACCATCTACGTAAGAGTAACAACCGAAGTCACTACCCACGTAAGGGTGTTAACTAAAAACACCATCTACGTAAGGATACCCACCGACGACATTGTCTGCATAAAGATAAACACTGAAGGTAATAATTACGTAATGGTAGACACCGACAATAACGCCAACATAAAGATAACCATTGATGAACTTAATGAAAACAATAAATACGTAAGCAATAAATAAAGATACTGAAATGAGATCATTGGTAGTGCAAATACAAACAGTTGCAAACAACTAAATAGAATATACTTTATTGACCTATAACTGCAATAAAAATAAGAAACAAAAATATTTAAACCTAACATAAACAGATGCATTGAACTACTACAACCTATATCATGTTGCCTCCTGTCCATAAACTACATGGATAAAGACCGTTAAATCTAAGAGAAAAACACTGAAGCAACTTCACTGATTATCATACACTTTGACCTAAATGTTTGCTTTAACTTAAAACTGATAGCTTTTTTCTTCTTCTTTTTTACTATGAAAACTAAAGTTTACTGAAAGTTCTGAAACGGTTGGTGGGATATGTGGGTCATGCAGTTTAACACGTGTGTGTATATGGAAATGTCGAGTCGAACTGCAATATCTCCGCACAAACAGCTGTTGGCAGAGCTAAGAAGAAATGTCAAAGGATAAATCTATTTTCACGAAGAACTGTAAATATGCAGAGTAGAATTATGAAGTGGGCTGAACAATTAAAAATTGAAAGAATATTTGGTTGTTGTTAAGCGCAGAGCTGCAAAATGGGTTGTGCGGTGCCTACCGCAGGAATAGAGTCTTAAATTTTAATGTCAAACTCCCAAACGTACCGCTGAGCCATACTGGAGGTAAGGGCTTCAAAAAGAAGGATAAATAAAATTTGAACGTAAGAGGCTAGTACAATTATGGGTAAATTCAACTTTTAAAACTTTACTGTATTTCAATTCATAATGTTACATATACTTTCTTCTAAGATTTAAACAAATGTCTAATTTCATAAGATTATAACGCTTTATTTCAATTTCCAAGTTCTTCTTTCCACCAAGAAACCAATGACTACTATATTATTAAACAGTTTGGTAT